TTCCCTCAGAATATTCGCAAAAGTCGCGTTCCGGTTCTTACCCTTGAAGGGGGTGGTTCCATAAAGCATCTCGTAGATCAAGATGCCGAGGGTCCACCAGTCCACGGCACTAGTGTGGCCGCTACCCTTAATGACCTCTGGTGCAATGTACTCTTCCGTTCCGACGAACGAATTGGTGCGGAAGTTGGCAATGCACGACCGAGTATCAATGTGCAATGAGGTGGTGCTGGTACCTGTCTTGCCAATGACCATTGTGGGCTTTCCACCGAGATCGGACTGCTTCGACAAGTCAAAGTCCGAAAGCATGATGTGGCCCGACTGGTGGAGCAAGATATCTGTGCAGTATGTCAGCAACCGATTGGTAAGCTCAAAAATGGCTATTGTCACACTCACTCTCTGGCTTCAAGTCGCGATAGATGAATCCCATCAAATGCAGATATTCCAAGGCCGCGGTGACCTCTGCGGCGTAGAATCTCGCGTCCTCTTCGGGGATACACTTGCCAGGGCGCGTCTGCAGCGCCCTGAAAAACTCTCCACCACTACAGTATTCCATACAGAGATACAAATAGTCCTCCGATTGGAATGAGTGATACAGCGTAACAATGAAGGGGTGGTTACTCGTAGCTAGAATTTCTTGTTCGGCGAGGGCGCGCTTGATCTTGTTCCGCTTGATCATCTCCTTCTTGCTCAATACTGCGGCGAGTCAGCAACACGTCGGCGTTTGGCTCCAGAATACCTTGAATTGAATCTTACCTTTCATTGCATAGAGACGACTGCTCTTCTTCTCGCGGACTAGATAAACCTTGCCGACATCTCCCTTGCCAATCAACTTGATCTTGTCGAAGCTTTGCGGGCCGACCTCAACATCGCGAACCTTGATGGAGTTGGAGCTGTAGGTCCTCCGGAAAGCGAGACTCGTACGATTCGGGGGTGGGAGGTTGCCGAGGACGTCCTTGTCGGGGACGCCCAGGCTAGGAGCGGACGCCTTGGACGGGTCAACCATCTCGAGGGTGCCCGAGTCCTTGTCGAGAACCAACGGGTCCTTGCTCAGCTCGGCGGTGGCGGGACGCTCGGCGCTGCCTTTGCCTTTGGAGAACAAGCCCTGGGCATTGGGGGCACTGGCGACTCTCCTAAGTTTCCTTGCCAATTCCTCTCGTCCGGCGCTCGTCGTCTGCTGCTCGGGGCCGCCGTCAGGACCTTGGATCTTGAAGTTTGGGGTATCGGGAGGGCTAGGAGGTACTGATTCGTGGTTATGATGGCGAAGGCCCGGTTGGCCTTGGTGGGCAAAGTAAGGGTTCGCGTGCGCGGTCGGGCTGAGGGCCTCGTCGAGGGGGTTGCCTTCGCTGGCGGTGGTGTTTGTCCTCAATCGGCCGACGGTACCCTTGAAAAAGCTGCTGCCAAACTTGCTCCGGATTTCTGGGCGGGCGGCGGCGGCCTCTTGTGAGGAGTGGACGTGAGCGGCGGAGGACTTTTCTCTGTCACGGTCGGCGCCGCTGTTGAGGTTGATGCGGAAGAGGTTCTTCAGCTTCTGGTTGAACTGGGCAGCGCCATTCTGGTGGGTTCGGCTGGCAGGCATATCGGGATCTCGGGGGTGCGCAATCAAGCGACCGATGCCATGGCTGACGGGACAGTTACAGGAGAGAAGCGAAGAGGACCGACGATGTTCGGAAGTGCGGAGAGCAGATGGAGCGGAAGAGGAGCGGCAGCGGTGGTATGCAGGTAGGTAAGGTAGGTAGGTAGGTAGGTAGGTAGGTAGGTCGGAGGTGAGTAGGTTAAGGTGAGGGTGAGGATGAGGTAGGTGGGAGGAACGTGGGACTCGATGCGGAGTGTGAGTAGCGTCCAAATGGTAGGGTCGGGTGGTGGTGGAGGAGGAGGAGGAGATGCCGCAAGCAAGGCCGGGAGAGAAAGATAGGTAGGTGTAGGCTGGCTGGCTGGCAGGTAGGTAGGTGACAGAACAGAGGTATGGAACGGAATGGTTGGTGGTAGGCAAGGACGGATAGGACAGGCGGTAGGCGAGCGATGGACGGGGGGAAGGTGAGAGTCGAAAGTGAGTTAGCAATGTGGGCTTAGGCGTCTTTCCGGACGGGCTTCACGCTTCGGCTTCCACACCTCACCTTCCCATGGACCAAGGACCATCCATTCCTCCCCCCCGCTCGTTGGTCGATGGCCGTGGTCGAGGTCGAGGTCCTGGTCGTAGTCCTGGTCTTGGCTCGTCACCCGAGAACTAGGTATGGCTTTCTGTTCGCTCCTCTTCACAATTCACAGCACTCTCAATGGGCAAATGCACCGCCCGCGGTCGTGGTCCGTTTATTGTCTAGGCCCCCATTTGGGGAGCTCACTGGGGTCTCTCTCTTTCTGTCGCCGCCGTCGCTGCCGCCCACCTGGGACGCTCTCTCTCTCTCCTCTCTACGGATACATTCGGGCCTGTCCTGTGTCCAGTGTCCAGTGGCTCTCGGGCAGTGCATCGCAAGGCACAGGGGGTCCCTAGCCCCAGTGGCAGCCCACGCGAGAGAGCGGCAGCACAGCACAGCAGGAAACGCGAGCCTTCGGGGGGTAAAAGAGGGAGTTTACACTACCAGGTGACTTTCATCGCCTTGCCTTATTGCGTGGCATGGCCAGGGGGGAGGGTGGAGGGGGAGGATGATGGAACCAATGATACAAGACATCCACCAACGGATCAGAATGGGACGGCTTTTTGGCAGGGATGTTCCGCTTCAGGCGGGCCCGGCCTGGGCCTAGGTTCTTGTAGGTTCCAGCGTTGGTCAATGGTAGGTGCCCTGGTCTCGATTTCCCTCTGTTCTTTTCTGTTCAGTCCACCGTGCCACTTCAGGTCCGAGCAGGCTGCGTGGGCCGTGGCTGCTTGCAAAAATGGGAATTGGGATGACTTTGCTGACAAAAGGGATTTGCTCCGGCGATTGGTGCTCTTTTTGCCGACGATTTTCCACGCCTCGCAAATTCCCCCATTTCCCATCCCATTAGCTTTGCAAGTCACTGCAAGTACCTTACATTACCTCCCGTCACTCTTTATACCTTACTTACAGGCATCCTGTTCGTCTGTCCACACCACCTTCAACACAGAGAGAGACTATTACTCGTCAACTCTATCTCTAGTGCCCTCTCCAAACTCTTGATGCCTTTCCTTTCCTGTGCCTGTTTCTTTTTTTCTTCTGGCTTCAGAGCGTTCTGGTCCTTACTCATGCACTCGCACTCCGACGATAGAGGCAGACAAGGACGAGGATAAACAAAACGCACAACCTCTAGGGCTTTGGTAAGGTACTAAGCGCAAGCCCATGCACTGGCGAGCCAAGATAACACCGGCGCCAGCTCGAGATACGAAAGCCTCACCGGCAATTACATGCCAGAGCCCCAGCACTCATAACAATACCTCCCACGACAATACCTACCTCAATCCTCAATCGTGCCCCCCGGTCTCTGTTTCTTCGTCCTCCCAGAATCACCATGTTCCCACGAGAACTTCCCTGTTGACATGTTTTATCTTTTTCCTTCGAGGGCTCGTGCAAAACACAGGCATCAGACGAATATGCAGGAATGGGCACAGATGTCGGGGCAAAAAAGCCTCATTGCGTTTGACCTCGCAGGCCATTCCACGTCTGCCGCCTAACTTTTGGACAGAGGAAAGACAGAACCAAAAAAACCTTACACGAGCTTGTTTCTAAATGTCTAATAAGACACTGTCACACTGTCAATACTTTTGGCAAGACACTCACGCACTCCATTAACCACACCCGTCGTGTAATCCCGCGCTAGCACCGACTCCCCCTCAATCGGTCCATTTCAGCCCTCCACACCACCACAACACCGCGCGGGTTCATGGCCGGCGATCCAGTCGTCTGGGGCACTAGAGGGTTTCCCGCCTGCTTGTTAATCAACCTTGGACTACAGAGGAGACCTCAACCAAGCAGAGAGAGTCGCGAGCACCCACGGCGGCGGCGCCATCCCATCGCCACCTTCCGTACCTAGCTGGTGTGGTTGGTTTGTCACATCGTGTCGTGCTGCTTCCCGACGAATCATTTCATCCAGTCTCTCACTTTTTCCTACATTGGCACTTGAGTCCGTCGGCCGCCCGTCGGCCGCCCGTCGATTTACTAGGTGTGTATGCTGCATGGGAAGTATTCTAGAACCGATCTTCAGGTTCTATTTGGTGCAGGTGGTCCTCTCGACTCTACCTACGGATATCGTGCTGTCCTATCTCGTCTGTTCCATTTGATCCAGATGCATGCCTGCCTGCTGGTTCTGTTCGTTTCGTCCACCCGAAACCTCTGCAAAGAAGAAACTCGACCCAACTGATATCCGGTAAGCCGGCCTACATCCCGTCGCCCTGCTGAATGCCCTGAATGCGAGAGAGAGGGCTGGGACATGTTTCTTCCTGAACAGCGGCCCTCCCTGGATGCCGAGGTGTCACTCCACCCTCGCCTCCTCATGCAACGTTGAGCAATCTCCCCCACAAAACACCGCACATCCCCGCCGATGATGTAAGATGGAATGCGACCAGACTCGTCCCTGGCCCTTTCCCCCCCCCTTCCCTTCCTGCATCAGCCTGAACTGTCAAATTTAGCAAGAGCCGCAATGCCAAGTCATCCCTTTCGAATGAATAGCCATGCTCAGACACACGACGACGACTCTCCGGCTCATCCGCTACCCGTCAAGTGAGGCCTCGACAAATCATCCATGCTCGTCTGGGGAAGTGGAAACCGCTCAGCGGCCTTTCCAGTTGGCCGAACGAATCCGTCGCACGACTTCCAGGGGCCTTTCTAAGCAGCGGATACCCCCGTTGTCCTCAAGTCTCCGTCATCCCTAGGGAGGCGCAGTCGGTCAACCCTCATCCGAAACCATGCCATGAAGCTTGGTCCTCACAAGCATTGTCAGCTCGCCTCGCCGTCCAGTATTTCTCGATGGTGTTGTCGTCGCCTCCAGTGACCGTGAGGACTCAGCCCGCGATTCATGTCAACTGATTGCTTGCGCCACAGCCATCAGCCACCTCATACTCCTTCGGCCACATCCTCCATTGCGTCGTCCTCCTCGCTCGGCATGTTCTGATCCCTAAGAAGCAGAAGATCCTTGAGTTTCCGCCTGTTGTTGCGCCACGTGTACAAGTCTTCCTCCTTCTGATCCTTGATTGACGGTGTGACTTGGTTGCCGGCCTTGTCAAAAAGGTAGTCAGGGAGCTTGGTCCCATCATCGGGGTCGTATCGCTTGAACGACACTTGCGGCCCGTCCCCTACCTGCCAGGCGACTGGAAGCATGTGTAGATCCTCCACGTGATATTTGAGGTCCGCCAGTGTGGAGAATTCGCGAGGCGGCTGCTGTTGGGCACACTTGGCCCATCGACATCCAGCTGCTACCGTTTTGGTATGAACAATCGACACATGCTTTTGCAGAGTCGCAAAATTGTGAAGCTCGGCCCGACAACCCTCCCACTCACAGATGTACGTGTTGAAATGCGGGTTAAGACTCTTATAGATGTCTCGCGGCTTGGGTGAAGCTGCCTTTGGCGGTCGACCTCGCCGCTTTCCCGCGTACAGGGCGCCTGTCTTGGGCCTATCCGACCGCAGCTTTCTAGGCCCTGCCTCGCCGGCCTCCTGTGATGCTTTCTTGCCCATCAGATTTGGTCGAAAGCCCTTTGGTCGGCCGCGCTTGCGACGCTGCGGTGGAGGAGTCGCTGCCCCTAGTGAAGTCACCTCTGGCTCTTCTGGCTCATCTGTGACGGCTCTCGGTAAGACTGGCTTGGCGAGGCTCACGCCTACTTTTGCCTGAGCTGCTAGTCTTCTGAATTGGGGTGATAGATCCGATATCACCAGGTCGTCCGCATCGTCCTCGACTGTCCTCATCGGCGTCGTTCCTGTACGCTTGCTAGGACTCGATGGAAGAACTACGGCAAACGAGGACCGCGGCGCTGGCTGAGCTGTTGATGTCCTCGGCTTTGACTGAGCGACTGAAGCAGAAGAAGTCGGTGTTATGCTGCTACCCGGTCGGCTGAAAATCTTATCTAGGGTACGCTGTCGTGGGATAGGCGGATTGCTTGGGCCCTGTGAGGCGGACTCATTTTTGGTGCCCAAGTTCGTGGAAGATAGCGGTGGCATGGTGAATATGCTCAAATCGGACGAGTTCTAAGCTGAACAGTTGTCTTTGAGCATGTTGGTGAGCAAGGTGTAGTCGGTCTTGATAGGTTTGCTGTGTGTGTAGATGTGACGAGTTGCGATGACCTGTCGTGAGGTTTGCTGTGTGTAATCTGTGCAAGACTAACCTAGTGTCGAATTGTTGCGTATGAACAGTTCGAGGTACTCGAGAGATCGACCGGGTATGTTGTAAAGGTCGATCTTTGAGGTCGAAAAGATGAGCTAGCGACGCGTTGATAGGTTGCAGGCGCGACTGCTGGTCGAGGGAACTTAGGGAAGGAACTGGCAACAAGCGGGGCCTGCCCGTTTAGGGCGGTTCGCACCGCGCGCAAGGATGGATGCCGACACTTGCCTACCTAAATGGTAAGGTACCTTACTCGATGTCACTTATTCCTAGGTATTCACTTTCTTTGCTTCACAATAATAAGGTACAGACCCATCACATTGCTTTTTATTTGCCTTCTTCTCGCCGTACAGATGGCCTTTTTTTTATGACGGAGAAGTCGCAGGCAGATTATGATGCTAACGATGCAGTGTCTCCCACCGGCCTAGCAGGTTTAATAATCAATGTACCATTTCGATGGACATTGAAGGAGAAGAAGTCATCCAGCGTGGGAAACGAGTGAGTTAGAGAGAATAATAATAGGATTCGCAGACTAGACTATCAAGTGCATGGCATTGAGCTGAAAAATTGTTGATTAATGATCCCATTCACCATTTCTGAAGCCTTTTGCTAATCGATTCTTTGATGTTCGTTCCCTCGCGCCTCGCACCGGGTCGGAGGCCATAATTGGAGCTTGCTGGAGAGGGGGCATTAATAATCGGGCATCCCGTTCAGCCCTCCGCAAATGCCGTCATGGATCCGAGCAATGGTCTAATCTCACAATGCCCGGCCGACCACATGCAAGCCTCAATAAGACATAAAGCCACTGAACCCCTCATCTGCTCGCAGTATATCAATCGCATCTCACAGCGTCTCATTTCAATTGACAACTCCTAATTGATAACCATCTTGAAAACAACACTTCAAAACAACCCATATAGCAGATCGTCTGAACAATCATGGCATCCAAGTCATTCTACGCAATCATCTCCGGAGCGGGTTCCGGCACTGGTCAAGACTCACTTCTACCATAGCGTACGCACAGTCGAAGCTAATGTAACTACAGGCCGCGCAGCAGCCGTCCGTTTCGCAAAGGCGTACCCAGTCGTGCTCCTCGCTCGCAAGCCGGAGAGCTACAATGCCATCGTGGATGAGATCAAGCAAGCCGGCGGCCAAGCCTTCGGCATCACGGCCGATGCCACAGATGAGGCCGCCGTCAACGCCGCCTTTGAGACGATCAAGAAGGAATTGCCTGGAAGCAAGCTCGCTGCCGCCATTTACAATGTAAACGGTGGCTTTGCCCGCAAGCCGTTCCTCGAGCTGAAGCGGGAGGAGCTCGACGCCAGTCTTGATGCCGCGCCGTACGTGAGACCTCGTTACGAATTTCCTTGAAGGCCGACTAACACGCGCGGCGTATAGAAAGGGGTTCTTCACGTTCGCGCAGAAGACGCTTCCCCTTTTACTGGAGTCGGTTTCCGACTCACCTCACCCGCCTTCATTGATCATCACTGGAGCAACAGCATCCATCAAAGGTCTGTTTTGAGAGCGTGGATGCCCTGAATGATGACTGACTTTCTACCGCAGGCAGCGCACTCTTCGGAAGTTTTGCGGCGGGAAAGTTCGCTCTCCGAGCCCTGGGCCAGTCTTTGGCGCGCGAGTTCGGGCCGAAGGGTGTCCACGTGTCGCACGCCATCATCGACGGAGGCATCGATACCCCCTGGGGTAAATCCTTCGTTGCCAATGGCGGCGTAGAAGATGGCAAGATTTCACCAGATGCTGTAAGTGCATTGCAACAATACTTGACTGGACGTATTGCTAACAACATCAAGATTGCTGAAACTTACTGGCATTTGCACACGCAACACCGCTCCGCGTTCACTCAGGAGGTTGACATCAGACCGTACGTGGAAAAGTTCTGAGCAAGTGAGCGACACTGAAACTGAAGACGTAGGCAATAAATCCACGTCATGATTTGAATATAGCCACCGGCAGTCTCTGGCCTCTCTCTAAGTAGCCAAAGATCCTCAATTTATTCCATTGGTAGCCTCACGAGTACTCAACGTTGGAAGTTGATATGCACGCTGCGTACGTAGTCATACTTCATTGATTTTAGGTGTGAGAGTAGACGGATCTGCCACCGTGGCTTGGCGTAGCATTGACACGGCCTCCGGATGAACCTGGTCTTCCAGGTGCTCGGAATCGGCCTGTTTCGTGGTGATGCTCGCAGCCTCGGGCGCATACAAGAAGGCTTCTCCTCTTTTAGCAAGCTCAAGACCCGGACGCCTCGGCAGCCACCGGTTCTGGTACTACTGGCGGAACAGGGCCACCATTGATGGCAGCCAGACGTTCCTCTTCCCTCTTCTCACGGAGAGCATTGGTCTCGGCACGTAGCTTCTCCAAGTTCCACACTCCATCATCGTCGTCATCAGAGTCCTCCTCCTCGTCGTCCTCGGTTGTTCGCCAGTTGCCACTTTCGAACAGGGCACGACCAGTTGCTTCCTTGGCCTTCTTGGCCTGCTCCTCAGCCGCCTTCTTGTCCAGTCGTTCCTTCTTCCACTTGGCGAATGACTCCGGCGTGACCGGTGTGAGGGTGCCGGTAAGTTTGTGTCGCTCCGACTCGAGGAAGTCTTCCAAGGTAAGGGTCTTGAGAGGTGACTTGTCCATGAGGGCCTTTTCAGCCGCTCTCTGCTCCTTGGTCTTCAAGATGAATCTGTGACAGCGTTAGCATTGGAATTGACCGTTGAACTGATGTAACTTACCCTGGTGGCAGAGCATGCTTGTATTTGCACTTGTCGCCGCCGTTTGGACAGATCCAGAACCATCCGTATTTGCCATCTTCGATGGCCTCGACGAAGAACTTGCACACTTTGTCGGTGGTGGTCTGCTGGTTGCCCTTCTTGGAAAGAACGACAGAGCGAAGCTTCTCCTCGTCCCAGTCGGCAGAGGTCTCGACCTTCTTCTTCTCCTCCTCTTCCTTGCGGGTATCCGTGTACAGGTTCTTCTTTGACGTTTTGCGTTCGTCTTCGAGGTTGTGAGAGAACTTGCACTTCTTGCCCTTCTCACAGTTGCCTTTCTTGTAAAAGTTGCAGACAACTGTCTTTGGGTCGACACCAAATGGAACTTTTTGAATCTGAGCGGGCTTGTTCAGAAGCATTTCGGTCTCCCTCTTGGCCTCTTCCGCCGCCTTCTTCTCTCGTTCTCTCGCCTCTTTCTCCGCCTGTTTGCGCTTCTCTTCAGCACTGCCACCGTTCTTCATTGACGACGCCATCTGGGCGATCTGCCTCTGGGCCGCGCCACCCTTCTTGTTCTTCATGCCGAAGGTCTTGTCCTCGACCTTCACGGCCTTCTTGGCCGGCTTGTCCACTTTCTTGGGAGGCATCTTGGCGGGGTATTCGGTTTCTGGTGATGAGAAAAGATTGGTGGGCAGAAGCAAAAGTCTTCTGCTACGACTGAGAGACCGCTTCTGGCGGGTTTGATTTCGGTCGTGTTATTTTGGGATGTCGACAAACAGGTCGGTAGGGTCCGCTCAGATCGACGTAACGCAAAAAGTCATCACTGCAAATCCGAGAAGAGTGGGAGCGCCGTGGATGAAGTCAGAAGTTCAAGGCACGGTGGGCGGGTCACGTGAAGGGCTCACATTGGTGGGGGCGGAGCGTCACAGCAGAACTCGACCGGGGGGATGCGGCACTAAAGTGGAGGGCCGACTCAAGCACCAAGTCACTCCTAGCGTGGCCGGTCTAAGCGTGGACAGCAGCTCCAGTGGTCTAGTTGTCCGTTTGGTTGCCCATCAATATCCTCATCTCAAGCTTCATGTGCGCCGCGCCAGCAAGTCCAAATAACCCACCTTGACGAACAACCTCAACCCCTTCCATTGTTCTTCGGAAGAAAGACGCTCACTGTACGTTCAAGTCATTCTTTTCTCTTCCATGGCAGTATTAGTAAGAAAACTGACACCCAAACATAGAAATCCTCCCCCAAAGATCCTCGTCGAACATCGTCCAAAAGCACCATCGCGCAAACGACCCCGAGCCCATCATGATTTCCGACAACGATCTCTACCGCCTTGCGATCTTCCTTGGCTCTGCCGCCATGGTTCTTATTATCTTCTACCACTATGTAGAAGTCAACACGGAAGAGGAAAAGCCCGAGAAAGCAGTACGATCCGCGAAGTCCGCCAAAGCAGTGTCCTAGAAGACCACAAAACGGCGCAAGTGAGGTAGTCGGGTGCCATGGGACATTCGCTGTAAGATACACATGGCGATAGTGACTTGGGATTCCTGCGGTCTCCCTGGAACAGTCGAGAATGGAGGCTTGAGGCGACATATCGAGCGACGAGAGGGGACATCCATGTCAAAGGGTACAGGTGATGTCGAACACGGCCTTTCAAGGGGTTGATAATCGGATGTTCCTCCCTCAACAGAAGACAGAGCTTTGCAATTTATTGCAGTCAAAGAAGCAAACACCAGGAGCGTCTACAAGCTCTTACCCTCCAAAATCGAAACATCAGAGCATCACCATTGAGAGGCCAGTCTAATCTGGCTCTGCGTTGCAATCTCGTGATGAACATCGACTTTGTGCAAGATCCCACGGTATCATCTCCATATTATGACCTAGCAATGCCATGAAACGACACCAAAATCTACGATATGAGCTCCCAACCTTCGCTCTCTCTGAGTAAATGCCGTGTATGCCTCACATTCGTAGACCATGCTACACCCTATTCCAGACACTGACTGTGGCGCTAATCAAATCTGTGGGATCAATCGTGTTTTGAGTGACACCAGAGCATGTTGGTTGGAGAGTTGTCTGCCTTAATCATTCCAAGCCCTGCTTCAGCTTCTCTTCTCTTCTGGCAAGGCGCATTCGAACACAGCGCCAAAGAGAAAGGAGCTGTAAACAGTTCCAAGCAACCCGACCAGCTGCTTCCCGAAATGGAACAATTGGAAGGCACAAACAGGGGATGTGTGGCTGAGGAGGCAGCAGCTCTGGCGGATCCTTCACGTCCTAGAACGGACTAGCGCGGCCAATCAAAACTTCCCGCTGTCAATGGGGTCCTCAGGCCCCCCTTGTTTTGGTCAGGCGCGCCGCAGCCTGCCGCTCCGCTGGCACCAGGCCCCGTCTCCTTTCCCATCTCGCCCTTCTCCCGCCCATTCTATCCATCCCGCAACCTCTCTCCTTCCAAAAGACAAACCTCTTCGCCCAACATCTAACAGACCCCTCGACCTCAAATCCAAACCTTTTCTTCTTCAGCTGCATCGTCAAAAAATTTGCGCAGCTCCTGTATTCTGTACCTCTTTCTTCAGACCGACCACTCCTCGCGCGCAAGCCTCTACGCGTCAAAGTTTGATTCTTCATCACATCAGCACTTCGTTTCGCATCACGCTCTTCACGACCTAATAATACTTGAAGAGATCCATCGACCAGCTGCTACTCCATCGCAGCACTATCCCAAGCAAATCATTCCACCAAACAAATCCAACCCCAGAATCATCATGTCTGGAAAGCTTGACCAGTCTCTCGACGAGATTCTCTCGACCCAACGTCGCTCTGCCGGCGGACCCGGCCGTCGCTCTCAGCGTCGATCCACTGGTGGTCGCCCTGCGGCCGCTGCCCCAGTCGGCGGTGTTCAGAAGACATTGCGACCTGCGCGCGGCGCCGCCGCCAACAAGCCTAATGCCGCCAAGCCCGCGCAAGGCTCTGGTGACAGCAAGGTCATCGTGAGCAACCTGGTAAGCCACTCCCCTTCCCCCATCAATCCTGGTGCAAGCTAACGCATACAAAGCCCAAGGATGTCAACGAGCAACAGATCAAGGTATGTTGCCGATAAGGCTCTTCAGCCCTCGGACTTTGTTCGACATGTTATTTCTCGCCTGCTCTCCTTCCCAATCGGCGTCGTAGCGAGATCAAATCCACTGTGGCCATTGCCACTTCCCAAACGGAATCTGTCAAGACGCCACCAAGACTCCTTCCTCGATGTCTGCGATCCTGAGATACGGCGCAGAGCTCATCAGAAGTTGAGCACGTCCCTGTCGCGCGAATACAGTACACACTTGAGGTAGCCTGGTCAGCACCCAAGCAATTGGTACAGCCGACTGAAAAGATGGGACGTTGGCTGTCTTTGACGGATATCCACATGACCAGCTTGGTCTGGTACCGCTCATCAGCATGACAATGCGATATGAAGCCCTTTCCAGCGAGCAAAGCAGTGAGCAACGTCGCAGTACAGGCCAGGGCGGCTTCGATATATAGCTTCACTGCTATCGATTCGCCAACCTACAACAACGGATGGCCTTTTAGCGGGGGGTTGGAGCTTAGTGCACATGGCTATTTGGGTCTGAAACGCCCCTCATGGTGTTACGGTCATGTGTTACGATGCTCCCCTACAGCAGCTGTTACGACTTGGGGTGATACCCTCCGACTTGATGGCAACTGAGCATGAGGCAGCCATGGCTCAAAACGGGGCTTTTTGGGGATGGACGCTGGCGCGCGTACTAACGCTCACTGCTCTGCTCGCTGCCAATCTCTTGTGCTCCGGTCGACTATTGGATTTCTGCCGATGTCTTGCCCCTTGTGCGGCTCGGGTTCGGACGACGCTCGTGATTGAAACCATCAACGCTTACGGATAACTAACATCGACTTTCCCATCAGGAGTACTTTCTCACATCAGTTGGACCCATCAAGAGAGTCGATATCTCTTACGGACCCAACTCTGTCAGCCGTGGCATTGCCAACATCACTTTCCGCGAGGCGGATGGCGCTAGCAAGGCCTTCCAGAAGTTGAACGGCCTTCTTGTCGACAACCGCCCGATCAAGGTATGCTCTTCGCAATGTGCCCTTCCATGAACTCTCTAACGGGTATTAGATTGAGATTGTCGTTGGTGCTTCTCAAGCAGCGAACGTCATCCCCCCTGCTAAGAAGACTCTTGCTGAGCGCACCACGTAAGTAACCAGCTCCAAAATCGCATGAGTGCATGCTGACAAGAAAACAGGCAACCCAAGGCTCAGCCCAAGTCTGCAGCCAACAACAAGCGCAACAACGCAAACGCTGGTAAGGGTGGCCCTGCCGCCGCTGGTGCTGGTGGCAAGAAGCAGCCTCGTCCCAAGCGTACCGGCCGTCCTGCAAAGAAGACGGCAGAGGAGCTTGACTCTGAGATGGCCGATTACTTCGAGTCTGGCGCCAACCCCAATGAGAACGCGGCTGCCGCCGCTCCGGCTCCGGCTGCTGCCAACGGCGACGCTGCTATGGAGGATGAGATCATGTAAACGGCATATGGCTACTACAGACTCATTAACAGATCGCCGGGCACTGAGGAGGTCAAAGTGGCACATCGCGTGGGGGGCTCCCTTCAACTTTCCTTACGTGCGCGTCTCCAAAACTCTCAAACAGATTGCTGGAAGGAGAGAAGAACGGAGGTTACGGGATTATGGCTTTGGTTTCGACATGTTTTGGTTTCTTTCAAGCTCTCAGACTGCCTCCCTTGGCCTTCCGGCAACTACCCCCAAACATCACAAAAACACAGATCACGGCTCCATTGAGCCGGAACACTACATTACCCATCTGCTTCGCCCAGGTTATAGCAGGGCATGTATTATAGCGATCCCCAAGTCGGACAGACTTTAATACAAAAAGCGCCGAGCCCCCAACTTGAACTTGATTAATGCTACGTGAGATCCTTTGTCAGGCGGCTGTGGTGAGATAAACACTCGGTCTGAGGCGAAGTCATGTAGCTTGCGGCCAGAGCGTGTAGAAGAATATGTGTCTGTAGATAAAGGAACAAGGCTAGCCTCAGATCGATTCGCCGTCTCCTAACTATGCGTAACTCTTTGTAAACCGGAGGGGTATGGACAGAGATCACGAATCGCCTTTGCGGAGGAATTACTCCCGTAGTGAGGCTCGGAAGAAAACTTAAAGAACCATGAGATCCATTCGCTAAATGCCCACTACACCTTGAGTTCTCATTGGAGATAAATAGAAACCAGTCCCAAAGATCACGGATCGTCTTTTCTTTTTGTCTTTTGATTCGAAAGAGTACATTCAGAGTCGTTAGTCTAGAGCGGTATCCACGGGCGTTGCAGCCAAGTATGTTGGCCTAAGTGCCGGGAAAGTCGTCTCGGGGTGCGTGATAAAGGAAGAAATTGCTCATTTCGCAGCAGCCTTGTCAGCGGCAGGGGCGGCCTTGCCGTCGTCCTCCTCGCCCTCCAAGGCAGGCATGTCATCGTCATCCTCGTCATCTTCCTCATCCTCCATATCTCCCAGACCTTCCATACCCGGTGCGCCGCCGCCGCCAAGCTTGGAGAAGTCGATGCCGCCGAAGTCGCCGCCGCCGGGGCCACCCATGCCAGGCATGCCACCTAGTAACCCAACGTGTTAGTCTTTGAACTTCAAAAGGCTCTGTTACACCATACTCTGCCACCGTGGGGCGTTGGTTCAGAGGGGGATTTGCAAAACACGTACCCATACCGCCGAACTGAGAGAAGTCCTCCTCAGCAGCCTCATCCTGCTCGTCCTCGTCGACCCACTTGTCGAAGTCGGTCTTCAGGAAGTGGACCTTCTTGGCCTCCTTGAGCAGGCGGGGCCAGTACTCCTCCTTGAGTTCCTTCTTTTGAAGCTTGAATTCGACATTCTTGCCGGTGTGGTTGACCTTGCTCTCAGCGGGGTCGATCTCAGCGTACAGCTCGAGATCAACGGCATACGAGCGCTTCAGAGAGTCGGAGGTACCGCTGAAGGACAGGCCGGTAGGCTTCAGGTCGACCTTGAGGCTGGACTTGGGAACATCGGGAACGGTAATCGTCAGGTAGACGAAGTTCTTGGAGGCGTCTGAGGAGCTGGAGCGCTGAGCCCAGAGAACTGTGGGGGGAAACCGGGTTAGCTTCGGCGCAGGTTCCGACTTGAAGCAAGGTTGTGTCTTTGAAGAATGAACACATCAAGAATTGCAGGCGGATGTAGGAGTCGGCGATTAAATTCCTAGAATGCGCCAAAGGGGAGATGAGCTTATACGTACCCTCAGGAGTTTGTGTGGTGGCAGACATTTTGTTGGTGGGAATTTGTCGAGCAGGGAGCTATGACGGGGGATGAGGGGTAGGTTGATTCACGCGAAGCGCAAATGTGTCGCAAGTAGGCAATCGCGTTTAGCAAATTGGCCTAGTAAGAAGGGGTATTATGTGTAGAAGTTGTGCAGATATCGACAACGACTGTTGGAGTTGAAGGAGTTGAGAGTGTGTGGAAGAGAGAAGCTGGAGGGGGTTGTGAGGCTACAGGTTTGAAAAGGCTGGGCCCTTGGTTGGGGTGAGGCCGGGTGGGTTCCAGTTACCGCCTGGAGATCACGGGCAATTGTAGAAGGCGCTCGAATCCGAAAGATTTGGTAGTAACCCACACAAGTAGGCAGGCGGCAAGAAGCACAGAGCACCTACCTCGCAGCACTAGTAGCACTACCTTAACAGCTCCAGGCTGGCACTGGCACTGGGGGCCAACTGGTGCTGCCACCACCACTGGGCCGCTGCGGACCGGACCCTGGCAGGGCTGAACGCACTGTACACTTAGAAATCCCGTCTCCTTTTCCCCCTCCAAGTTTCCCTCCTCCCTCCTGTCCAGTCCAGGGTTGTTATTTTTTTCCTATTCCTCTTTTTGGCTGTGCCAGGTACCTGGCCGAGCCTCTTCTTGCCTTTCCAGCTGCTGCCAGGTACTTCGTTCTGTGTGGGACTTTTGCTCCAGATGCAAGTACCTGTTTCCCTGTCTTCCCCTCTTTGCTAGACGTTGGCTTCACAGCCGAAAGAGCTTTCCAACCCCCCTGCAACCCCACGAAATAGGCGTAAGAAGCATTCTGAGTGGATAGATGTCGCCTGCCTGCAGCTCTTGGTGAGGCGCATCATAGCAGACGCATGCACAAAACAAAATCTACCCCGAGCAGTCTGTTCCTTTGTGTCAACTAATGTAAGGCGATCTGGAATCTTTGATCTCCCAGCGAGACGAAAGTCTGTTCTTCGTCATGTTTCCCAGTCCCTCAGTGTCGGAGCCGTCACCCATCCGGGCCCGAGCACCCAGCTGCTCGATATCTATGTATAGGTAGCCAGCATGCCAACGTAACTTCGTCTTGTCTTCCGACGCGGGTCATCTAAGGCAGGCAGTGAGATCATCGTGGGCCCTTGCCGATTCCCTTATCCACCAGGGGTCTCATTTGCTGCAATACGGGCCGCCCGGAACGTGCGATTCGCCTGCCTACGTGATACTGACTGCCCGCACTCGGATTCCCAAACCGTCCGCTGGATGACAAAGGGGCGAGCATCTTTCCACTCGACTGAGAGACTTCTAATCCTGCCAATGGTTACCGATTGAATGGCATTTAGATTTCAGGATTAACTTAGCGCTGCAGTTATTGACTCAAAATGCGTTTCCTGTTGTTGCCAAGATGCCAGTCCAGCCAGCCGAAGCTTTCCTGGCCACCGTTCGGCGTCAAGCACACACATCGCTTAATGCGGTATTCCATATATGCATGCCCCCCTATACTCGCACTCATCTGAATACATACATATCGATTCTGCTTTCCCCACGTGACGACTATCCCCCACTACGAGCCGTATCAGTCGATGCGGCAAGCAGGGAATGACGACACATCGCTTCCCAACCCAAGGCAGCGCTGATTAAACCTGGCAACCGACGAGGCTGGCGACAGCCTAACACAACGCGCTACGAATAACCATCCACTAAATATCATCGCGACGCCTCGGATTCCAGGGCTCCTCGTATAGAAGGTCTTCTTGGGCCCTTTTGTTGTTTGTCGGTTTGCACAACATGGAGACACTCAGAGCCATATTCGTAAAGCCTGATCCGCAGCAACAGGTAGGTTACGCCCATCATGAATGATGGATCTAGAGAGGTTTCTAACGAGCTTGTACCTGGACAGCTGCGGAAATGCAACGCTCTTATCCGCTCGAATATCCGTAAACTCGACCGCGACATCAACCAGGTTAGGCAAGTCGAGGCCAAGACGAAGAACCTCATCCTCCAAGCCGACAAGCGAGCCCAACGAGACCCCACGAGACAGAAGCAAGCACAGAAGGAAGCCCGCGACTTTGCGCGGGAGCTTATCCGGGCGCGAAAGACGAGTAATCGCCTAGTCACCTCCAAAGCGCAACTCAACAGCGTGCAGATGCAGGTCAATGAGGCATTTGCCGTCAGGAAGATTGAGGGCAGCATCCGCGCGAGCGTCGGCGTGATGAAGGACGTCAACCGGTTGATTCGGCTACCCGAGCTGGCCGGCACGATGCAGGAATTGAGCGCGGAGCTGATGAAGGCCGGTATCATCGAGGAGATGGTTGGCGAGAGTCTGCCCGAGGACTTGGACGAGTTCGAAGAGGAGGAGGCCGAGGGCGAGGTCGACAAGGTCCTTGGCGAGATCCTGAAGGATCGCATGTCGAAGGAGAAGCTGCCCGCTGCGCCGGTTACGCAAGAGCCCAAGCCGGTCGAGGTCGAGGAGGAGGAGGAGGATGCCGAGGCTATGATGAACCAGATGCGCAACAGACTGGAGGCCTTGCGGAGCTAAAGGCTTGCATATCGATAAATACGGCGTACGGTGTTTTGTTTCGCGGACCAGTCAGTTTGGCTTTCTTGCAGGCAACATTTCACATTGGTCTGGAGACAGTGACGAAGACACGCCCAGACTTGGAGGAGCCTCTGACAGCGATCTGTCGCGTGGTTCACAACCCCACGGTTGCTATGGCTCATGTTGTGCTCTCGGGTCATCTTCATATTTCGTCTGGCGTTTGGAGTAGCCATCATTCAGAGGTAAACATTCTCTTCACGTTTTGAACGGCCAGATGACCACTGGTCGAAGGGCATTCTATGATTTCTCTCGCTTGGCTATTTGAATGAAGTCAGAGACCTGGGAAGAGAGTCTTCAAATCGGAACAATGAACTATATTCTTCCAACACAATGGTTTCATCTGCCAGACCCCTAGTGACAATGGAAGTAGTGAATAGTTGATGATCGCAGATACAACGAGCTGGGCCAACAGAGGACACATTCTTTGATCCGCCATGCCTGATCACTTTGCGGTAACTATTTTGATCCAGCCTGCCTCCACCGGACTACCCGATGCCAGATTCGCCGGAAGCCCAGCCCTACGTATCCTCATCACGTCGGCGGCTCTTCACCTTAGGATGTCCGCCGAGCCTTACATGGCCATTTTCCTGCTAGAGACAACATCGATGCCGTTGGAATCTCACGAAAGCATCTGAGCACTACCCCTTGCTCATTTCTGCCTCGTTCTGTCCTCCAACTTGACTGATGTGCTGCCTGATCCTTCGCGGCTAGCTTCCCTGTCTCTCCGTCAAGGCGATGGATCGACCAGTCATGGACGGTTCTTGCCAGCCATCTTCTCACAGTCACAAACAAGCTTTGTGATTCCTCCCATTAGTGATCACTTGTAGAAACCGTTGGAACCAATGGTGTACGATGTTTACCCGCTTGGAAGTGGCCCCTCTGGCCTGGGCCTCCGTTTCTGTATTCTCAAAGAGTGTCAAGTTTCCACGCTCAACTCACAGTCTCCGTTTGCTTTTCCCAACTCCATGGTCCCGAGAATTCCCAGAAACTCTCCGAGTAGTTCAGGACTCTAAAGCTGAAATACTTTGGCTCCTAGTATCCGTACCTCTCCATGACTTGTTTTCCAAGGAGCCTAGAAGCACTTCCGCCCGCCGTGGGGATCTTCTTTGAGGGGATCTTCGTATAGGAATGACAGTTTGACCTAGTAAATGGGCAAGATACTAGTCCAAAAAGCAGGACTAAGATGGTAACGGCTTCAATACGAAGAGGAGATGGGACATAAGCTGGAGAGACGGAGAGCGGGAAAGAAGGAAGATGAGAAAGGGGAGGGTACCTGTTGCAAGCTGGCTGATAATGCCGAGAAAATTTCTGTTCACGATGCTCCCATGCTTCACCGCGACTGAGCTCGAAGGACAAACAATCCCACGTGCAGAGATGGGTGCTGACACACGCACAATCAAAACTTAGGAATCGGCGCCTCCACTCTGACATGGCGGCATCGGTCCCGATAGTCTCCACAACGGAGCGGGACGCATCTCACCAAGCAAAGCCACCGCCTTATCAAATACCGACATGGTTCTTAGCTAAGCCGTCAACGTCTGCCCCGTCTTCCCATCGCCAAGTAGGCAGGACGTCATGTTCTGCATTATTGCGTTGGCGGGGCTGGGGAAATGAGATGCTGCAGCTCGACTATCTTACACAATGCTTTGCTAACCCAGCCTGCTGGCTCGGCTTGCGTAGGGTCCTCTCAGTCACATCGGCTCTGTCAAGCTTAGTCAAGCCCACGCATCGACTCCCTCCCAAGCAACGAGATCTCGGAAAAAAATCCCAATTCCATGATGGAGACCGGATTTACAGAGAAGAACGGCAAAGCTGACCTCTTTTCTCCGCAATCTCAATATGCTGGTGTGGGTCGCACAGAGCGGAGTTCCACCTCAAAGCAACCCAGGGCCGCTCGGTAAGCGTGAACCACCCAATGACAAGCCTCACAAACTACCGAAGAGGCTTGACGTTTTCGCTGCCGACATTGGACGAACCGGGGGAGCTTACTAACGTACAGCGTTTTGGTTACCGAATGCTTGTCAAGGTTCGAAAGCCATGCGGCTTTTCCCATCGTCGACTTCAGCATGTTTCCTAATGGGGAAATTTCCTGTCAAGGAGGGACGGGCAAGGCTTCGACGATGCCCTGCATCTTGCATGTCGTCTAGTCGGAAGTGCTTCCTATGCCGATGGGATTTGAGGCTATTGGAAACCCCACAGCTTGATAACGCGTTTGGCTTGGTCATGGACAGCCAGACAGACGTCCTTTCACAATGCTGGCTGGCTTGACGGAGTCTGCTCCGATGTGAGGGACTTTGGTCACTGATGCTCCTATGACTCGGGGTTGTTTCTGCTTCTACTGTGTATCGTCAGATTTCTGTATAAGAAGAGAGAAGGGCCTTGCCTCTAGTTGTCGTTTTTCCTTCCATCCTCATCCAGCAGACAATTCAAGAACAGTCTCCTTCATCTCAAAGACTCAACCGGCTCTCCAAAAGACTAGACCTCAAGACATCCTCTTTCAAGATGAAGTTCTCCATGACTGTCGCCGTCTCGGCGCTCTTCTCCGCCGTTGCCAACGCTGATGGTAAG